TAGCAGGGCTGAGTACTAGAACTGTTCGGCTGCACACAGGCACTGTTCTTCTAGAGGAGAGAAAATTGAACTTGAGAAATCGACTCAGAAGCATGAGGCAAGCATCTTGATTTTCACAGGCTGCAGCAGGCTAGGCATTCTCCCTCTGAAACCTTGGTGTCAGGGTCTACAGCTGGGTCTTGGGGTAGGAACAGCAAGCTCACTTTGTGTGTGGAGCTGCCTGGGCCTGGGAGAGATGAATGTGGCCGGGCAGTGGCTCAGGGCTGGTGCCTCTGTCTAAAGTCATGGAGGGGATTCTGGTGCCCCCGTGGGCCAGGAAGGCAGACAACTGGATCACAGAAGAGTATGCTTGAGCCTTAAGATCTAAGCAAATTTTCTTTGCGGTATTTTGGACTTCTTTGGAACCATCGCCACTTCCTTCCTTTCTATTTCTCTCTTTGGAATGAAAATATATATTCCATGTTCTTCTCATCATTATAATTTCAAGCCACATAATTTGTCTGGTGCTATGGAAGGAATGTTTATGTATCCCCAAAATTAATATTCTGAAGCCCTGGTACCCTAGGTGATGGTATTAGGAAGTTGGGCATTTGAGGGTTTATTAGGTAAAGAGGTGCCAGTCTCAGGAATGAGATTAGCATTCTTACAACCAGATCTGCATCCTCACCTACCCATGTGGAGGAGGAAATCTTCCCATTCTCACTGCAGCCCAGCTGCCATGGATTTCAGTGCCTGTCAGGGCAGGAAATGGAAAAACACTTGAGTGTGGGACTGAAGCTGACTGGAGGTGATGTCAGGTCCATTTCATCCCAGTCTCGTGATGAAGATGCAGTGAGATATTCCCACTGTGGAGTGATGCGTTGTGAAGATTCTTTAGGCAAGGTGAGGAACGATCATGTAGATATACAAGACTGACATCCATTCTGAAATAAAATGCAGATTATGTTTTGTAATGGTGAATCGAGATTCTGAAGAATGTGTGGAGGAGTGGATTGAATACAAAATTAGAAGTGATCTTAATTTTCGGTGTTGAGAAGCATGGTGTGTGGCTATTTAATTTAATACCATGGGGCTATACACGCATGCATTTTGTCATTGCTATGCTCACACAACAATATATTAATCATCCTTCAACCAAGTACACATCTAGGTTTGCACTTGTACATACATTGTCAAAATCGAGCAGTTGCATCATTGGTTTACTGAGAGTTAAACTGATTCCTTTTTCTTTTATGGAAGCACACTCCTGCCCTGATGGTAACATCAGCTGTTCCTGCAATGATGGGAGCCCTTTCCTGGCCTGCCAGTCTCCCCTCAAGAAGCCTTGGTGAGCTGGGCAGCACCACATACCCCACAAATGGTCTTGGATTCATGTCTGCTACAGGGGACATGAATGGGGATGGGGCTACACGTACTTGTTCCCTTCTTCCCAGGACCCATGGGTGCCTATAATGAGGCAGTGTCTGAACCCTCGCAGACTGTGTATCTTCCCCTGAGAGAAAGAGCGCTGAGTTCCTGGAGACAGGTCTACTTCTCTACCAAGCCAGCAGCCTTTGGGGAATCCCATGCTGAATGTCTGCCCTGCAGATTTGGTCATTGCTTACAGAGTGCTACAGTTAAAAAAAATTATAGAAACACTACACAACAAGAATGATGCCATCTCCATCAGACATGACAACTAGATATGTTTTGCACACCTGGAGCTATAGAAATCTTAACATGGAGGGGGTGCAAGAATAAAGCAGTTTGTGTTGTGGCTTCACCCCTTGTGTTAGTTTCAGTGTTGGATAACTGATTTAACCACAGCTGGATGCATGCCAGTGGGGAAGTCAGACGGCAGCCCAACATCCAGCCAGAGAGAAGTGGGTGAAGGTAGTGTGTTCCCTGCAGCACTGAGATTCACTCCACTGTCCAGCTCTGGCCCCACACATGGACCACAGACTAGGAGATCCCCTCCCCCAACAGTACCACCTGTCCACAGGGATTTACCACTGATGCTCAGGCCAGAGGGTCAGCTGAGGGATCTGTGGCAGAGGGGTGGTACTGAGGGCTGGTCTCAAATACAGTAAAAGGGGATGTGTTGAATCACAGGGCTTTGCATGTTTCCCTTAATTCTGAATTCATTAGTCTGCCAGTCATACAGTGACCATCATGGTTGAAAGTATAAGAAGTCTTTAATAATTTATGTTTTAACTCATGAGAGCACCAGGAAAGTCCATCTGGGCCTCCTGCTTTCCTCAGGTGGAATTATTCAAACAATTTCTTTGCAAAGTTGTTTTATCTGCTTGGTCTCCTCCCTCCATGTTTGTAAGTAACGTGAAGCTTTCGTACTTTATCAGCTGCACCCCCTGATGAGGCTATATCTGACATATTTTTCATATGAATTTGTATTTAGAATTTTAAAATGAACAAGTGTTGAAAACTATGTCCAAAAGACAAGAAATAAAGGACACTGTTTTTTGTTAATTCCTGTGTCAGAAGTCATTCATACTCTACATTACATTTGATTGTTCGTACCTTTAGTTGGTTATGGGAGCAGAAACATTGTTCCAGACTAAGAGTACTTTATTCTCCTGAAACAAACCAGGTGCTACCCATGGCTTTCAGCTGATCATCCAAAGATAATTTAGCAGGGTGGCACACACATAGGCCCCTAGGAGGAACACAGCAGCCCTGATCCCTGTTGGAATCCACATCTTCTTATAGCCCAGAGGTTGTGTTGACTGTTCTACAGGATGGGGCCCTTTCTCTGATCCTCCCCTAGGAAAGCCCTGGGGATGGTAAGCTCCCATTGAGGTGGCTCTTTCACCCTATGTCCCTGCAACTCTGTCTATGCAAACTGGCCCCAGGTTCAAGAGGAGATACAGGCAGGGGTGTGAGCAAGACGTTCTGTGTTTTTGCTCTGGGAACCACTGTCCTCACAGAGAAGCACATGGCCTCTCTGCTGGCCCTCCTCCGTCTGCTAGCCGCTCTCCACAGTGAGTGATCCACGGTCTCAGAAACAGTGTGATGGGCATTAGGCTCTGTGTCTGTGTCACTGACGCTTGTTCTCTGTCCGCAGGTGTCCTGAGCGAGGACCAACTTGTGCAATTGGGGAAGGGAGTGGTGGTCTCCTCGTGGATGCTCAGCCTCACCTGTGCTACCTATACAGGCTCAGTTTCAGAATATTCCATATCCTGGATCTGCCTTCCCCACGGGAAGGGCCTTGAGTGGATTGGTGTGATCTGGGATAATGGGAACACCAACTACAGCCCCAGCCTCCAGTCCAGAGTCAGCATCTCCAGAAACACAAACAAGAATCAAGTGTTCCTGGAGCTGAGAAGTGTGACAGTGGAGGACACAGGCATTTAATACTGTGCCCAGGGCACCGTGTTCTGGATCCAGGGTGAGCCTAGGCAGGAACTTGCCCTGCAAGGGTGCTCATGGCCTCCAGGGGGTGCATAGAGACTGTTATCCTGGTCCTGGCACCATATGTGGGTTGAGGGCTAATTTCCAGGCTAGAGTTTCTCTTTCCTTGCCCTGCAAAATGCTTGACATGCAGACAATACAAAGATTTCAAAACATGAAAACTGAGAGACATGTTCATTTTAAAGTAATGATCACATAAGTATGACACCCACATTGCTGAAAGGCCAGGTACTGGAGTAACTTCAACCTATGTAATCTTGACAGTAATCCTAAGAATGTAGAAGTGCAATCATTCTAATTACATATATGAATAACTTTACATAAGAGCATTCTAAACCAGGGGTCCTCAAACTTTTTAAACAGGGAGCCAGTTCCCTGTCCCTCAGACGGTTGGAGGGCCGGACTACAGATTTAAAAAAAACTATGAACAAATGCCTATACACACTGCACATATCTTATTTTGAAGTAAAAAAACAAACGGGGAAAAACACTGGCCCGTGGCCTGCTGGCCGTAGTTTGAGATCCCATATATTCTTATTTTGTTTGACTATGTCTTCATTTTATTGCTTTGCTGTATTTTACTGATGTCCGTTTAGGAAGATCTTATACAAATGGCCCCTGGTGCTTGTAAAAAGACCCACAGCCTTCACTATGTCTGTGTTGCAGTGGGGGAAAGAACTATCTCAAAATAGTTCTGTCCATTTTGTCTTCTTCAAGGTCAGAAAGCCAGAGAACACTCAGAGGAACCAGTGTCAACATACAGACTGACTCCACATTTTACGAGATCAGGTAGTTCATTAGATATCTATCCTACTTGGTTGACCTGCCATCAGGTGGCCAGTTAGCACCTGAAGGAGGTCTCTTAGGGGTGAGTAATGGTCTGCTGAACATTAGGCAGAGGCTTGAGCGTCACTGGTCTGGAACCCTGCTGGGGTCACTTATATGGACAATTCCTGGCATCAAGCAGCTCAGCATTTCCATCTGCTTGGGTATTGGGATCCGCCTGGTGGTGGTACACTCTGGAAGGCACCAAAATGCATACACACAGCCTCCTAGTAATCAAACACAACTGTGCATTCATGAATAGCTTGTGCTCCAGAAAGAGGCAGGTGCCTTCAGGGACAAACAAAACTGACATGTTTTCTTATCTTTTAAAGACACTGCCAAATGCCATATGTAACAGAAAGAACATTAAGTTAGATATGTTTGACAAATGTCTAAAGTCTGAGGTGGGTCATGCTTAAAGGAGGGCTCAATTTCTCATGCAAGTTTTCCCTAGGAACTGCACCAGGAAATCACAGAGGAGCTTTGAGTATCCTGAGATCACCAACAGTGGTGAGGACTAAGGTGCATTATTATTATATTAAGGAAAAAAACATGTGAAATCTTAATACATTATGGATTTTAGTTTAAAAATCATTTCTGATCCTGGTTGATGTATAAATGGCACAGTGTAGCAGAAGATGACCTTATATCAGCCCCAGCTAAGTTTGAGCCAGCATCTCTGTTTCTTCCTTCCTGAGGAAGCCTGTTAATGTTGAATTTGTCTTTGGCAAATGATCCCCCATTCCCTCCTTCATCCCTGTACACACCTTCATTTCTGCAACATGAGTTCTTATCAGGCGGTGGATTCCTCATCACCTCTGTCCTTTGTTTCTCTCCTGTCCAAAAATTAAGATGAGTGTGTCACTGTGCAAAGTCTTTGGGGTCAAAAAACAGCAAAGAAAGGCACCAGTCTTTAGCAGCTTATGCAGCCTGGGGCCACAAATAAAGTCACCATCATTTCCACAATCCTGCATCAGGATGTGTCTGAGAGATTTTATTAGCAAACTTCCCTAGAGAATTACATTTACAAAGTACCAATCCCACTTCCAATCCAGAGGTAACCTACCCATTTGTTCTTCATAGAGCAACTGATAGAGTTGAATACATTACATATTTCCTGGTCTTACAAGTTTAATTGTCTGTATATTATGGGCTAATTTGTGGTCTCCTCAATCAAATCTGCAAACTACTTTCACTGGTATAAGTAGCATCCTCAATATCAAATATAATCAATAATCATCATGTCTAATTCATATGAGCTCTTTACAGCTTTAGTTCTTACTGGCCAATTTCAATGTGTGGAATTTACTTGTTCATTTTTTATGGCACCTATATTTTTATCCTTTGTATGCTCTTCTTAGGTTTCTTCCACACCTGACTGATATTTAAATTTATAATTTATTGGAGTTTAATGAAATTAATATGTCCACATTCTAGTGCAAATAGCATTGCAAAGTACAAATTTACCATGTTTTAGTTTGTATTAGTCTATTTTGTGATATTATAAAACATCTGAAACTGAATAATTTTAAACAAACAGAAGTGTACTGACTCAGAGTTCCGGAGGCTGGGAAGTCCAAGGTCAAGGCATGGGAATCTGTTGAGGGTCTTCCTGCTGCATCAGGGTTTACTTTATATTTGAAAATGGAGACGAGTTGGACAACTACATCACATGATCGATGTCCATGGGTGAACATGAAATAAGAGGATATATGCTAAGTACTTATCAAAGCTCAATATCATAACAATATACCACATTTCCTCTAATATTTTCATTGTCACCAACCTCCTCAGAAAACTCAAGGTATTGTGGGGACATTCCCTCTCCTCAGGTGTCCCACCCAGAGCCTGCTATATAGCAGGGGGCATGCAAATAGGGCCCTCCCTCTGCTGATGAAAACCAGCCCAGCCCTCACCCTGCAGCTCTGGGAGAGGAGCCCCAGCCCCAGCATTCCCAGGTGTCCTCTTTTGATGATCAGGACTGAACACAGAGACTCACCATGGAGTCTAGTCTGAACTGGGTTTTCCTTGTTGCTCTGTTACGAGGTAATTCATGGAGAACTAGAGATATTGAGTGTGTGAGTGGATGTGAGAGAGAGAAATAGGGTGTGCATGGCAATTTCTGACCAGGATGTGTCTGTGTTTGCAGGTGTCCAGTGTGAGGTGCAGCTGGTGGAGTCTGGGGGAGGCTTGGTCCAGCCTGGGGGGTCCCTGAGACTCTCCTGTGAAGCCTCTGGATTTACCTTCAGCAGCTACTACATGAGCTGGGTCCGCCAGGCTCCAGGGAAAGCACTGGAGTGGGTCTCATACATTACTGGTGATGGTAGTAGCACAAGCTACGCAGACGCTGTGAAGGGCAGGTTCACCACACCCAGAGACAACAGCAAGAACATGCTGTATCTGCAAATGAACAATCTGAGAGCCGAGGACACAGCCATATACTACTGTGCTAGAGACACAGTGAGGGACATTAGTGTGATCCCAGACACAAACCTCCTGTGGGGGCGCACGGGGCCTCCAGGGGATGCACAGGGCACAAGGAGGAGAGATACCACAGGGCAGGTGCAGGTGGAGGGTAAGAGCTGGTTTCCTCTGAGGGTTGTGGCTTCCTCTCCATAGAACGGTTTCCTCTGGGGAGCTTCTCTGAATTCATGATTCTGTGTTTCCCTCTGTAATCTCTGAGTTAGATATGTCTGTGGTAAAGGGAGAAAATATTCTAACCTGCACAAAATGCAGAGAGTGACTTCCAGTCACTTTCCCCTGTCCCCAAATATACATTAATTATCAACCCTTGGGAATAAGTCCAAAAAGCAATAAAAGATTTTGTCTTTTACAACACAATGCAGCACAGCACACAGAAGTGAATGTTCCTTCTAGCCAATAAGCAGGATAAAGTGCCTGTGGGACAGAGGCAGAGGAGTCAGCATCCTAAGTAAGAGAAAGGACATCCCATGGTGGTCAGTGTCCCAGCACTAGGCTCACCACATCCATCCTAAATGACACTCTTAGAAGGTGGACATTTAGTGCGGGCATCTAATCTGCTCTGATCTTCATTATTGCTTCTTCTGATAACTTTGGATTCAGTTTGCTCTTATTTTTCTAGTTCCTTGAGATGAATTATTAGGTTGTTTATTTGAAACATTTCAACTGTTTTGATGTAGGTAGTTATTGGCAGTTATTGCTATAACATTTCCTCTTTTTACTGTTTTTCTATATCACATAGGTTTTGATATGCTGTGCTTTCATTTTAATTTGTTTTCCAATATTTTTACATTTTATTCTTAATCTCATTATCAACCCACTGGAACACTAATTCAGGAGCATGTTTTTTTGGCGTGGGGCAGATAGATTAATTTAATTAATTAAAATACACCTTGATGAACATGGTACTTTATACAGTAAGTTCAAACTGTTGTGTTAGCATAGAGAAAAAAAACAGGGTGTCTAGAGGGGCCATGAAATAGTTGATTATGGAAGAAGCTTTTTTTCATGTTTTTTTTTTCCTTTTTTATATTTTTCAGCATATTATGGGAGTACAAAAGTTAAGGTTATATATATTTCCATCCCCTCCCTCCTCCCTCAAGTTAGAGCTTTAAGCATGTCCATCCCCCAGTTGGTGCACATCACACTTATTATGTATGTATATACACATCCCCTCCCAACCCACCTACCTGACACCCGATACATGTTATCCCTATATGTCCACTTAGGTGTTGATATGTTAATACCAATTTACTGGTGAGTATATGTGGTACTTATTTTTCCATTCTTGGGATACTTAACTTAATAGAATGGGTTCCAGCTTTAGCCAGGAAAATACAAGAGGTGTTATATCATGGTTGTTTACTATGGCTGAATAGTAATCTATGGTATATATATACACCACATTTTATTAATCCACTTATGTATTGATGGGCACTTTGGTTATTTCCACATCTTTGCAATTGTGAATTGTGCTGCTATAAACATTCGAGTGCAGGTGTATTTTTCATAGAGTGACTTTAGTTCTTTTGCATAGATGCTCAGTAATGGGATTGCTGGATCTAATGGTAGATCTACTTGTATCACTTTAAGGTATCTCCATATTGCTTTCCACAGAGGTTGAACTAGTTTACAGTCCCACCAGCAGTGTAGGGGTGTTCCTATCTCTCCTCATTCACACTAACATTTATTGTTTGGGGACTTGTTCATAAAGGCCATTCTCACTAGAGATAAGTAATATCTCATTGTGGTTTTGATTTGCATTTCCCTGATGATAAGAGATGCTGAGAATTTTTCATAAATTTGTTGGCCATTATTCTGTCTTCTTTTGAAAAGCGTCTGTTCATGTCCTTTGCCCACTTTTTGATAAGGTCGTTTGAATTTTTCTTGCTGATTTTCCTGAATTCTAAGTAGATTCTAGTTATCAGCCCTTTATCAGATGTGTAGCTTGCAAAAATTTTCTCCCATTCTGTAGGTTTTCTGTTTGCTCTCTTGATAGTTTCTTTAGCTGTGCAGAAGCTTTTTAATTTGATCAGGTCCTAATTATTTATTTTTGTTGATGCTATGATTGCCTTAGGGGTCTTCTTCATAAATTCTTTGCCTAGACCAATGTCTAGAAGAGTATTTCCAACACTTTCCTCTAGAATTCTAATAGTTTCACACCTAAGGTTCAAGTCTGTTACCCAGCGTGAGTTGATTTTTGTGAGAGGTGAAAGGTGTGGGTCTTGTTTTAGTCTTCTACATATGGCTATCCAGTTTTCCTAGCACCATTTATTGAATAAAGATTCTTTTCCCCAGTGTATGTGTTTGTCTGCTTTGTCAAAGTTTAGATGGCTATATGAGGATAGTTTTATATCTGGCTACTCTGTTCTGTTCCATTGGTCAATGTCCCTGTTCTTGTGCCAGTTACAAGATGTTTTAACTACTTTAGCCTTGTAGTATAGTTTGAAGTTTGGTAAATTGATGCCTCCCATTTTGTTTTTATTACCTAGGATTGCTTTTGCTATACGGTGTCTTCTCTGATTCCATACAAAGCATAAAATTGTTTTTTTTTTCTTTATCTGTGAAAATTATGATGGTATTTTAATAGAGATTGCATTGACTCTGTAGATCACTTTGGGTAGCATAGACATTTTAACAATGTTAATTCTGCTGACCCACAAGCATAGTATGGTCTTCCACCTATTTATGTCCTCTGCTATTTCCTTCTTCAGTGTTCCATAGTTCTCCCTGTAGAGGTCTTTTACCTCCTTAGTTAAATATATTCCTAGGTACTTTGTTTTCTTTGTTTTATTTTGAAGGGAATTGAGTCTTTGATTCTCTTCTCACTATGACTGTTGTTTGTGTATATGAATGCTTCTGATTTGTGTGTATTGATTTTGTATCCTGAGACTTAACTGAATTCATTTATCTATTCAAGTAGTCTCTTGGTTGAATCCTTGGGATTTTCTAGGTACAATATCATATTGTCAGCAAAGGATGAGAGTTCGATCTCTTCTGCTCCCATTTGGATGCCCTTAATTCCACTCACTTGTCTGATTGCTGTACAAGGACTTCCATCACTATGTTGAATAGAAGTGGAGATAGTGGGCAACCTTGCCTTGTTCTAGTTCTAATTGGGAATACTTTCAATTTTTCCCCATTCAGTACAATGTTGGCTGTGGGTTTGTCATATATGGCTTGTATCATTTTTAGGTAAGCCACATATGTGCCTATTTTGTTAAGAAAGGGTGTTGAATTTTGTCAAGTGCTTTTTCTGTGTCTATTGAGAGGCTCATATGGTCTTTTTTTTGCTTCTGTTTATATGGAGAATTACATTTATAGATTTGCATATGTTGAATCATCCCTGCATTCCTGGGATGAAGCCCACTTGGTTGTGATGGATTATTTTCTTGATAAGCACCTGGATTAGATTAGCTAGAAATTTGTTGAGAATTTTTGCATCTATATTCATAAGAAATATTGGTCTGTAGTTTTCTTTTTTTGCTGCATCCTTTCCTGGTTTTGGTATTAGGGTTATGTTCACTTCATAAAATGTGTTGGGGAGGAGTCCATCCTTCTTGATGTTGTGCAATAATTTCTGCAGGATAGGCACCAGATCTTTGTAAGTGTGGTAAAATTTGGGTGTGAAACCATCTGGTCTGGGACTTTTCTTTTTAGGAAGGTTTTTTATTGCTGTTTCAATTTCAGTACTTGATAGTGGTCTGTTCAAAAATTTTATTTCTTCCTGGTTGAGCCTAGGGAAGCTATGTGTTTTTCTAAGAAATTGTCAATTTCCTCCACATTTTCCAGTTTGTGTGCATAGAGGTTTTTGTAGTTTTCATAAATTATATCTTGTATCTTCGTGGCATCAGTTGTAATTTCTCCTTTATTGTTCCTGGTGGAGCTTATTAGAGATTTTTCTTTTCTACTTTTCATTAGTCTAGCCAAAGGTGTGTCAATTTTGTTTATTTTTTCAAAAACCCAACTTTTATTTTTTATTTCGGCATATTATGGGGGTACAGATTTTAAAGTTTCAATAAATGCCCATTTCTCCCCCTCCCCCCACAAGTCTGAGTCTCCAGCATACTCATCCCCCAGATGGTGCACATCTCACTCATTATATATGTATATACACGCCCCCTCCCTCCCACCTGCCCAATACCCTATTACTGTGGTACCTACTTAGGTGCTGTTCAGTTAATACCAATTTGCTGGTGAGTATATGTGGTGCTTGTTTTTCCATTCTTGGGAAACTTCACTTAATAGTATGGGTTCCAGCTCTAACCAGTAAAATATAAGATGTGCTACGTCACTATTGTTTCTTAGAGCTGAATAGTACTCCATGGTATACATATACCACATTTTATTAATCCATTCTTGGATTGAGGGGCACTTGGGCTGTTTCCACAGCCTTGCTATTATGAATTGTGCTGCTATAAACTTTCTAGTGCAGGTGTCTTTTTTGTAGAGTGTCATTGGATCTTTTGGGTAGATGCCCAGCAATGGGATTGCTGGATCAAATGGCAGATTCACTTGTATCGCTTTAAGGTATCTCCATATTGCTTTCCACAGAGGTTGAACTAGTTTACAGTCCCACCAGCAGTGTAGGAGAAATCCATATTGATTTCTTCTTTGGTACACTGGTTTTCCAAGGGTGGTTAATTTCCACATATTTTCAGTTTTAGAATTTCCTTCATTCACTTCCATTTTCATACCATTTCAGTTGAACTATATGAGGGGTATAATTTTAATGTTCTTAAATTTATAAGATTTGTTTTGTGGCTCACAATGGTCTGTCCTAGAGCGTGTTCTTGTGTACTGAACCTAATGTGTATTTTGCTGGGGTTGGATGGGTGCTGTCTGTATTTTTCCTTCTATTTTCAAATATTATGAGATGCAAATGTGCACATAAGGAACTACACTCATGGATATTCGTTGTGTTCAATCCATTTGGGACTAGAGTATTTTTTTTCTGTTCAGCATTTACAATTTATTTTGTCCAGACAATCTACCACCATTACATGTGGGATATCAAAGTTTTTTACTATCTTTGTTGCTGCCTCTATCATTTATTCAATATTTTTTACTATGTCTTACTGCTCTCTTTCAGCATTCTACCAACTTCCCATTCAATAGTCTCTCACCAGTGATCATTACTTTTTTCTTTTGCTTTGTCATTTTTATAAGCCCTCAATAATCTATTGGTCTTATTTGCAATGTTTCAAAACCG